TTTTTTATAGTAACCTAATTTATTTATGATAATTGTAAGTAAACAATGGTTATTAGTTAACACGCTCGCGTATACATATTATACTTATTAATGTTTTAGTTAGTCCATAAGTTTTCATTTAAGTGAATTGTAAATTCTTATGAGACATATTCAATAAAATAAATATTTCCGTTCATTCCTCCACTCACCAATACGATATCAGTATGATCAACATCGGTCGTTGTTGCTACGTATTTAGCGAGAAACGCGATGTAAGCCGCCACATGTTGAGGTATGCACTCGACGAGACACGCGGCTCGGATGCGGACTACAACTTCTTCGCGCACTGCCTCCCAGTGATGGAGCTCGAGAAGAAGGTCCAGCCACTCACTGTGAAAGGAAGAATCATAAAGATTAGCTTTATAGTTTTATCATTTGTCATTGAACCACAGAACAATAAATACAGTAGAAGTGCTTAGTTTGTATGACACGTGTGCGAATAGTATGCGAAGTTTCTACATACTGAAACTCAGTCCGCCATTGTCGCCTTGTACGTTATGGTTGTGTCAATTATCACGCGCAATGTTATCATTAAGTCTTATTTTATTTATTTAAATAAATTTTCAATTTTCTGTTTATGGTAATATTTTTTATGTTACAAGAAACAAAAGTAAACTTAATAATGCTGCAATAAATTCGCTTCTTTATTGGAGAACTAAATAAACATCTCGAATTCGTCGTCGTTCAGCTATTGCCCGCTAGATGGCAGCACATTGATTGAAACTACAATATTAAATCAATACGTCGTAACTTGCAACAATAGGTCTTGAACCTTCAACGACAACAGAGTAAAGTTTTATTATATTAACAGTTCACAATTCGTTATGCTCTTTAATTTTTAATTTTTTTAATTAGACACCACGACCAATCATTGCCAAGATTTCATAGTGGTTCAAATTATGAATTTGTGAGTTTTGGCGACAGCGGTTCTGATAGTAGTCGAGGGTTAAGGCACTTCGATTGGTTTTTTTCTTCCGTGAGTTTCACCACCGACATCAATAAATAAGCTTTAAGTAGTAATGTGGTCTTTGTATGTCCACTATGATCTTCATGTCAAATCAAAATCAAAAACATCTTTATTTCCTTGGTAAACAAAATTACTCTTAAAATCTTCAAATTGTGTATGGCCTTGGACATCTCGGTTGTAGTAAATTGAGTTAACGTAAACCACAATTTCCGAAATAAGTTAATGTATTTGTAGTGTCCGCTCCTACAAGTAATAGCGTATTAGTATGTGGCTCGCCTACACGCCACCACTTGCGTCCGAGTTGACGGTTGAACACTGATTGGTTGAGATAAGAAAAACTGCTAACGTAAACTACTAACGTAACGTAAACTGCTAACGTAAAAAACTAGTCTTAAAAAATCGTTTAGGAAAACGAAAAATCTATGCGCTATATGTAATGCTACATGTTAAAAAAAGCTTGCAACGTTGTGTTGATAGCAAAAAGCAAAAGTAGACCATTAAAGGTTTCAAATTAAGTAAGTTTATTTGTAAAACAAGAGTCATATTTTTATTTCTAAAATTATTATTAACATTAACGAATTAATTTGTTTAGTAAATATAAATGGTCAGACTAGAAACTTAGGCACGTTGTAAAAAATGAATTTACCGAGTACAGAACTGACCAACGCTTACGCTTAAAGTAAGCTTATTTTAAGAAGCAAACTTTTTAGGTACTTTTCGTTTAGACCTCTACTGATTGTTAAAGTCAAAGTCATATAATCATTTATTCCATAGGTAAAATTTTTCACTCAAAAACGTTATTTTTTAAGCTACTGCTCGTCCACTACGCTGACTTCCCTGAGAAGAACAAGCAAGAAACTCTAGGGATTGCTCTTTTCAAATAAACTTAAATGCTACTTTGAATCAAAATTGTGTGGAGTCTAGACTGTTGTTGTCTTGATGACTTTTCAGTTAAAATACTTTTAATGTAAGTTTTAAACTTGGAAAATGATCATCTTAAAATATTCTCCGGAATCTTATAGTAAAAACGTATACAGTTCCCCATAAAAGAATCGTTTGCCTTAGTTAAACGTAAACGTGGTACCATGAGTTTGGACTTAGTTCTAAGGTTAATATTATGGATATCTTCTTTCTTATTGAAATTATGTATATTTTTACGGGCATACAAAATATTTGAGTAAATATACTGTGATGCTACAGTCATGATACCAGTCTCCTTAAACTTTAGGCCCCTTGACCCCCGCACACTTCACACCCGCACATGTGACGTGTGCGCTCGAGATAAATCATAGGCAACCCACATATACTACAGTACTGATTAAATTAAAAAAATAAAAGTATAGAATATAGATTTGAATGCTTATCTGTGGCCGATCGGTAGGGAAGCAAGTTGTCAACTGACGTTTTGAGCATTTACATGTGTAATAAGTAGGTTGCTATGTAACTTGTTCGGTGCAAAAACCGCACCACCTGATTAAGCTACAACCCGCAAGCTGAAAGTTTATATTTTCTTTGCAACTTACTCTGGGCTAACATCAGCGTTATAATCCATTTCCGTAGTTTCTTCAGCTGACGTTTGGGTGAGCACCAGTTTCAAGCCCTGTAAGAAATCAGTTAAATAATAATATGAAACTAAATCGCTCATTCGATAATAAAGTGTAAAAGAAGGAAAGTAACATTTTTTAAGGAAACTTACAAAATAGATATAAATAAAACAACGTATCATTTTAACTAACCAGTAGTAAATTTGACTTTTTGTTTGATATAGAAAGAGATTTTTTCTTCAGCTTCCTAAAAATGTTACTTTTCCAATTTGTTTTTTTATCATTGATACATGGTGACATGGTGGGATATATACATTGAAATGAAGCGCAAGCAAGGTATATCCAGGGCCAGTGGATAAATAAGATGCTAGTGGTTATATCAATTAACTTGTAATTCGGGAAAAAGGAAATAAATAGAATCCCAAAAATTACCGACATAATTTTGGCATAGTCAACTTTTTTGGTTAAACGCGATTTGTCCATGAAATTGAAGAAAATTTATTAGTTTTTTTAGTTTCATGTAAGGATCATTGCATTGGAAAAAAAAATTGGGAGAGCATGGTCTAATTTAATAATATGTTATTGATTTTGTATGAAAAAACTTTTTATTAAATTTAATCAACTTCTACTGATGTGTGAAATGATCCTTACATAAAATTGAGTCGATCAGCACTATAAAAAAAAATTAATTCATTTAATATTCAATTAATATTCATTTTATGGACAACTCACGCTTGACCAAAAAACTGACTCTATCAAAGAGGTTTTCACAAAAAAGACTTAATAGTTCCTAAGACAGTGTTCCTGTATCTCCTATATTTCGGATTTTCTGTAAAATCCCGATTAAAAAAACACACTGTATAACACAGATTGTAAGTTTTTCGTTTGCCTTTCATTCGACTAATGAGCGCACTAATGTGAGCTCCTTTGACCCGATTTAGATCGGCGCGGAGCGGAATGAAAGCGAATTTTTGTAGCGGCGACCCGTATTTTCGGCTCGTATCTAGTCGGTACGTTAAATAACTGACATAAAGCGGATTATGCTACGGTTTGAGCCTTTCGGTTCGGGGAGGAGCAGGCATACCCTCTTGGCGCTGGCGCGGGTGGGCGTGTGCGCGTGCGCCAGGCGCTGCATGTAGTAGTGCAGCACGGCGCGCGCGCCGTCGGCGCTGTCGGCCACGGTGCGCCGCAGGTGCGCGCACAGCTCGCCCGCCTTGCCCGCCTCGGCGCCCGCGCCGCCCGCGCCGCCCGCCGACAGGAACTCGCACAGGCACTGCACGGGCAGCACGCTGCGGACAACGCCGACGCCGTTACCGATCGTCTACCGTACACCACACGGGAGAGGGTTGCAACCCTAACACAAATGTATTAACGTGAAGGTACAACAAGTAAAGGGTAAGTAAAACTGTAACAATAAAAAGGTGTATGTAGAAAACACTCCCTAACTTGACAGTTATTGAATTTTAGACACTTACTCCTAAACGGGCTGAATTATGCTGAATTACAGATACTAGTAATTCGCTTATTACGATTGATAAATGATTATATTATTATGATTAAAACTTCGAAAAGGATCAAAAATTTGACGATTTGAATTATGTAGCTCTGTGGAACGATGGAACGCAACAAAATCAGAATGAGAGGGAAAGAATGGAACAATTCAAAATTTTGAATTTAAATAGGAGTAGAAGAAAAAACGATACGATACGAATGGAGAAAGGCGATACAACAAGGTGGGATGACGATGTAAGGAGGTTACCATCACGTACTGAGTTGGATTAGGCAATATTAGCAAACATTGAAAGGTGATAGATCGGTTTGGTGTACCAGTTGCGCATTGATCCCATGGCTTTTAGACTACAACCTACTTTAAAGAAATCGTTCGTTCTGCATGCGAAACACAGTTTAATCCCTGACATCTTCATGGCAAAATTATTTTTTATGATTAAAACTATTCCTCTACAGACGTCGTGACTGGAACACTAATAATAATCATAGCTCATAAGTTCAAAAACTATGTTACCATCACAACCTCAATGGTCCGGGTCGATTCTCTGAAGGACCAATTAGGAAATGACTGACACCCAGACTGAAATCACTTTAGAATAGTTCTAGAGTCACAAACCCCGAAAAGAATTCCATTATTCTACTATTGATAGTACAGCGTAATCTCTACTTTCAAATCAAATTTTGTGAACAAAAGAAAAATCCTTTCTTAAACATTTAATTTAATTTAACCAATTAACCTGAGTTCCAACTGGTCATGTCTTAAGAGCTGATGGAGCCACGGCATAGCCCGTCTGGTCCCGTGGCGTTCCACGAGATCCAATAACAGCGCTGGCTGCCTACACAGCAGCTTGCCCAGGCGCATCTGAGAGCTTAACTGTTGGAGAGTCTCCAAAATTGACTGAGGTGGTTTTCGTGCAGGTCCTAAGGGATCTAGGGTTGTCAACTGTAAAAAATGTTGTTACTAATTAAATTATTATTGTAACATTGATTATAATTAATATTACTTACTACCATCATCTAATGATGATCATGTATGATGATATTATTTGTGAAATAACTCGACTATAGTTCATTTCACAGTAAAATGACAGTTCATTGCACAAAAGTGTTGCCAGTGTTGCTTGCGGGCAGCTAGAGATTGCAGTCGATAAATAGTCGATCGACTACCGACTGAACATTGGTCACGCTTATCGAATAAATAGCCAAACTTGTTCCATTTGAATCATCCTCGACCCACTATTCATCCAATTACTGAGCACATGTTCATTTAAATTATCAATTTTTGTAAGCTCATACATACATACACTGTATTTAGAATTATGTTTACGAAATATGCAAAGAGACATATTTTAAAGTTTTTCATTTTAACTCAGTATAGATAATAAAATCCGGCTATTCTTGTTAAAACGATATTAGTAGGCCTACTGTCAAAATAAAGATGAAGGCCTTTAGTAATCATTAGAACGTCGTAACATTGACAATTCAGTAATTTTTGGCAATTTTTTTTATCTCCTTTCACAAACTATCGATAAACTACCGACAACAACTAAATTTAAAGTTTTATGAAATCTGGCAACCCCACAAATGTAATTTTACTCCGTCGTCAAAAAAGACACTACGATGCAATTTTTATTTTCTTCCCTGACAACCTTTTTTACTAACATAGGCTAGAAGTTCTGTAACTCACATTACTTAGGCAATGTCTGAAATATTTCTTTTTTTATTTGTTTTGATTGATTTGTTTCACAAATAACCCTGTATTGAAGGGTTGACGACGATGATGATGGTAAAATACCTGACTGAGCAGCCGCGAGCTGTGCTCAGTGATGGGCAGCTTGGCGTTGCTTGCCGTGGCCAGGTGCGTCTCTAGCTGCAGCACCGCTGCCCGCTCGGCCTCCGCCCGCTCCGCTTCTGCTGCCGTGCTGCCGTTCCACTCGATGCTTGGCTTGCTGTTGCAGGCAATACGTTAAAGCTCATGTGGTAGCAAAGCATAAATGAAAAATTACAGGGGATAGGTGGCACTACGATCTGCCTGCGTTGCGTATTTGTCAACTCTCATCCTCAATATTTTAAAACACGTGGGCAAGGCAAACTAGAGTAATAATTTTCAATAAATGGTAATTTATTGAAAATTATTTATAATTTATAATTAATTATTAATATTTATATGGTAATTTATTTAATTTCGTTTGGTAAAACAAAATTAAATTGTTACAAGAACGTACTTTTAAAATGCAATTGACTAAATGGCTTTTCACACATTGCTTCTATAGTAATAAAGAATGCTTGGAATGTACAAATTCATTACATTAATTTGAAAATATAGATAATAAATATTAAATTCCATTAATATTTGCACATCTGTTTGCAGGTTGAATACAATGTGCGTACCTAAATTTACTTAAGAGGGAGCAGAGGAAAAATTCCTAATCTTCGATTTGATTTTAGAGGGGTATATCCACTTTAAAGTTAAAAATAAAATATTGTATGAGTAACTACACGAGATATTCAAGCATAGACATTAATCACAAACATAAAACAATAAAGTTTCCTCGATAGATAAAAATCACGAAATGACCTCTAATTTTCACATTTTTTCGATTATCCTCGAAATGCTACAGGTTATTAGGACAAAAATTAGATAATTAATTATATTTATGCATGATCGACAACTGTCACTACGGATTTTTTAAAAATAAATCCCTTTAGTTTTAGAGTTATTCCGCTAAAACGAATTTGGTACTTTTAATGCGCAAAATTCAACATCTCCTGTCGCATGTCACGCGAACTTCAGGCATATATTTGTCTCACAAATTTGGGCGGAGCCAACGTCAAAACTTTTTTGGCATGCTCCCTCTTAAGACCTATGTAATTACTGTATTCTGGCAAATTCGTATTCTATTCTATTCTATCGCTAGGTTCACCCTTAGAGGATGGAAAAAAATAAAGGAATAAGGGTTCAACGAACTTCACGTCTTGGGTGCACATTTTATTTTATTCATTCATTTTATGTTAATTCTGTAACTGTGTCAAAGTCAAAGTCAAAGTCAAAGTCAAAGATTATTTATTCCATAGGTAAAATACATTTACACTTGAAAACGTCACATTTAAGCTACTGCTCGTTCACTACGCTGACCTCCCTGAGAAGAACGAGCAAGAAACTCTAGGGATTGCTCTTTTCAAATAAACTTAAATGCTATGGAATACACTTTGAATCAAATTTGTGTGGATTCTGGAGCCATGTCGTCTTTCCATACATCTTTATCTAACACGTAGTCGTGTATTGTAATAGGGGTTAAAGTATGAAATTGCCGATTTGTACTGAAAATCTAAATTGTTTATTTTTTACATTTTTAACAAATTTATTTAATCAAAATAGTTGCCATTATTATCTATACATTGCTGCCATCTAATGGGAAGGTTATTAATGCCTTTGCGATAGAACTCCGACGATCTAGACTGCACAAACTGTGTGAAAGCATTTTGTACTAACTCCTGGGAAGAAAACTTCTTGTCACGTAGATAATTGTCCAAATCACGAAAAAAATGGTAGTCCGTTGGAGCAAGGTCTGGTGAATACGGAGGATGACGAATGGTTTCTAACTGCAGTTCCTGAAGGGTCAAAATGGTTTCTCGTGCTGTGTGAGGTCTCGCGTTGTCGTGGAGCAATAATGGTGAAGATCGATTCATGAGTCGGGGCTGTTTTACTGCTAGTTTTGTCAACATGGTTCGGAGTTCGGCACAATAGACATCTGCCGTTATTGCTTGACCAGATAGGAGAAAACTATAGTGAATAACACCATGCTGAGACCACCAAACAGTTACCATTACCTTTTTATTGGTAAGTTTTGCTTTAGGACACTGTTGTGGCATTTGACCTGGGGTCAGCCATTGCATTTTTCTTTTCCGGTTATCATAAAGAATCCACTTTTCATCACATGTTACAATTCGATCCAATATTCCTTCATTTCTGTACCGGTTAAACAAGGCAACACAAGTTTCAACACGCGTTTCTTTCAGCAGATCAGTCAAATCATGAGGCACCCATTTTTCGTATTTTTTTATTTTATTGATTTGACGCAAGTGAGTCAATATTGTGGGTAAGGTAACGTTAAACCATGCCGCTAATTCCTGGGTAGTTTGACTAGGATCGGCTTCCACTATCTCTCTTAATTCATCGTTATTCACCTGTGTGGGCGGTCTTCCTCGTGGCTCGTTCTTTAAGTCGAAATTTCCGTCACGAAAGCGTTTAAACCAAAATCGCACGGTGCGTTCATTAGTAGACCCCTCTCCAAACGCAGCATTGATATTGCGGGCTGTTTCTGCCGCGTTAGTTCCGCGTCGGAACTCGTATTCAAAAATCACTCGAATTTTCGCAGTATCCATCTTTCTTGTCTAAATTGAATAACAAAAACAATTGAAAGTCGATATTCAAATGTTTCAAATTTAAAAAAAAAAAAAATCACAGAAACCATTTGAAAAAAGTTTCATTCGAAAACCTCAAACCATGAAGATTCTATGAAAATTCAAAGAACCTATTGCAATAAAACGGCAATTTCATACTTTAACTCCTAATACTAACAGAATAGATCGCTTGTAAGTGTACTAACAAATGGACTGTATTTTGTCTGCAATAAATGATCTTTTTTTTTAACAACTTTTTATTAAAATAACCGACTTCAAAAGTTCGTGTAATACACCTATTTGCCAAGTTTTATTGACATCTGTTTACGGAAAGTGGGCGAAATCAGATTCATTCCCTAGTTTGCCACCTTTAGAGGTTTAGGTGGTGAATCGAAGCAATATTCCACCTACTTTCCAACAAAAAAAGAATCTTCAAAATCGGTTCACAGTTTTACAATATACCGGGTGGAACAGAACGACCGACAAAGCGGAAAACTGTGAAGAGTCTTAAATATGTACTTAATTGTACTGAAAGTCTTTTTGCTTTAAGTGTAATAGTTTCCGAGTTATACAATGATAAAGATTTGCTTGAAAAGTCTGTATTGTCAACCGTACATCATAAAACACAGCTGTTTGGAGGCAACTACCGGGAGGTACTCAGGGCAAAAACTTTGTAATTTAGTAGATCGTTGACCTCCGTCGTTGATCAGCACCCCATCAGTCGCTTTCTTTGATCAACCACTTTCTTTGATCGGTCATCATGTGAATGATGATTAATTACGCGGGTATTTTAGTGTATTACTTTGAGAGTAATTAACACCCCTAAATTGCGTGTTTGACGACCCAATATTTACATTTACCGAAAAAATGCACCTCTCATAGAATCTTCGGGAAACATGTTGTTTCTAAACCTTTGTAGGTAGTTTATGACAACGCATAGTTGACAGGGTCATTTAGACTTCACTTTTCTTAGGTTGTTGTCAACTTAAGAAAAGTGAAGTTTTCTAAATGACCCTATCAGGAGTTTAACTCATATTGCCTGCGTCATAAGATAAGACTAACTTAAATAAACATAACTAAATTAAGTAAACACGTTCTACAACATGCGTCAAGTACCTACTCAAATTACAATAGTCTCGCAACCCTTAATCCGGCCCTAACGTAAAATAGTAAATTGAGGCAGCCAATCACGTCAGTAGAAATTTAGAGATGGACACTTGATAACTGTTATCTGTTTTTGCTAGCATAATGGGGAGATCGTTTTTTTTTGTACTAGTCTATTTATGAATGCATTTGGAAATAGTTTTAATTTACACTACAAGAATTTACTAACTTTAAAACGAAGAGTTCATTCTATTGATATCAACATTTAAAACTAAAATTTCTGTTAACTTGAGCTGTGTAGTTGAAATTTTATTAAATGTAATGTAAAAATAAATAAATCGGAGGATCTTGGAGGTCTGCAGACCACCTCCACGTTTCGCTTTCTTATTTTTGATTAAATTTGATTATTTATTACAATTCATTATACGACCTGCTTTTAACTTTACTTTTACTTTTAAATTGCTCATGGTACTTATACCAGACAATACGATTATTGCGAAAGTTATTACTTTATCATAATTGTCTTTTTAAAATTAACATTTCGATATTTAATAATCAATGATATTCGACGCGTAGGCCGCCGCCGCGCGCATCTCTTTGCAGAGTTGCCAATTAAGCGACTTTGTCCCTTTATGTGATGATTTGAAATCAAAAGCGTCTTTTATTTCTAGCGACAAAAAAAAAATTGGTATTTTTGGCGCGTATTTAATTAGGTTTAATCGTTTATAATTTAATATTATTTTTATCTTAGTATTCAGGAGTCTTTTACCTGTACTGGGACCATTCTGTTTAGTGATATTTGCTTTAGTCTAGTTGGTAACACTTTTTCATTCATAAATTAGTTCAAAATGCCTGGTTGTATGGTAACTCGTGGTCTCATGTTTTTCTCGTGTTTACAACAAAAAAACGTTTACTTGTTAGTTTTTGGGTTGTGACAGCAACTTATTGGAATAATGCCGTTATTAAGTAGTGTTTGTGTTAAGCAAGTAAAATGTATTAGTGTGTTTGCGTGGAAAACCACATCGGCGTATGACCGGCACACTCAGGAATGTGTCTGGAATGTCTGCAAGAGTAAAGGGGACGTGGACAAATCGAACATCATTTTAATTTAAAGTAAGTTCAATGTTTTTTAATTACCTATTCAAGTGAGAGCACTTATTTCTTCTGCGAGTGCCAATGACACGAACGCCGCCTGTGGGGCAGTAGATGTACTAACACGATTGATTCGCTTAGGGTTGTCGCACCGCGAAAGTTTTAAATCTGGACGAATATTTTTCAACTGCTCTGATTTTACATTTAAAGTAAATAAAACTCATGTATGTTGGGTTCTCAACGTGATATTTTCGGCTTTGTCGGTCGTTCCGTTCCACCCTGTATACAAAACTTGGGAACCTTTTTTGAAGACGGTTAAAAATATATAAAAAGAAATAAAATCATCAAAATAAATTTCAATTATGTATTGACCATGTTGATCTACAATCTTTTGCCATCTTTCGGGTAATTTTCGCCTTTCATAAAAATTCCTGTCTTTACCACGATTTGGAATATCTGTATTTTCAGGGACCGATACCATTAAACCTGCTACAGTACCGGTATTTATATGCTAGCGTTTATTTATAAAACTCAAGGACACACATAGAGATGATAACAATTCCCTCTGGAATCCTGGATGTTTTATTTAATTTTATATTATGTTGTATATCTTTGACGTGTAAGTAGCAATTACCTTACTACGGTAGCGTAATTAAAACTAAAAATTTAATTATTAAATTTCTTTTAAATTTTTTAAGATAAATGCCACGATGTTTGACCACCATGATATTTTTGTGAAATTACTCCACTACTTTGTTAAAATTACTAATACAAAGATTAAGTTAGAAAACGAGAAACAACTTAGAAATAATTCCTTCAATCCGGCTGGATTCGAACCAACGTCTTCCAGCAAACCGTGCCAGATACTACGCCAACTAAGCCACGGAACGAACTATAATAAAAAATAAAAATAATAAAATAGTTTATTCAGTAACATAATGTACAGAGAAAACTAAAGACTACTTATGCGATTTAATGTAAAAATAACACATGTACCTGAACTAGGAAATTCCTGTATTTCAGGTAAAAAGTACTACTAATTATAAAACGTGGATACTATTAATATTATAAATACTTTTTAGGAGAATCTTATGAAATAAAATTAAACAATTAAAGAATAAATTGCCAATCAAGAAAAAAAAAAATTTACACTTATACAAGACAAAATTTATTTTACGATAATAAATAAATTCTCTGTATCCTCATAGGACATATTTTGAAGAGCTTCTTGGAGAATTTTCTTTACCGTGAAGCAACAGAAATTATAAATGGAATATTTGGCGTTTAATTTATTGTACAAAAATGGTCCAAGAAACACAAAAAATCTTGAAATAAAAGTATGTTTTGATGATATAATTTTGGGGCAGACAATATCTTTTCGTCTTTTATTAGTGTTTTCAGTAATATATGGAAGTAATACGTGCTGTTTGAGGACTGTGGACTTAATAAATAATTGCCTTACAGTTAATACTTTACATGACTTATACAGATGGTCAGTGGGGTAACGGAAAGGGCGGTAGGTAGAAACCTTTAGGACCGCTCGCTGGGCTCTTTCAATGATTAGTAAAGTAGTTTTAGCTATACCACCCCATGATGTAATGCAGTAAGTAATTAATGATTGGCATAATGCATAATAAACTTGCCTGATTATTTTAAAATCAGCAGAAACGCGTAGTTTTTTAAACACAAACATTAACTTGCGGAGTCGGGCGCTTAGTGCTTCGATATGGTGTTTAAATGATAGGTTATCATCTAATATAACACCTAAATACTTGATCTTGTTAGTAATAGCAATGTCTGGACATTTACACAGGTTGTTAGTAGGTTCAAAACAATGGTGAGCATATAGTTTAGGGTTAGATATAAATGACTTTGATTTCCGATTGAACTAGCTGACCTTAGGAATTTTTTCTATGTGCTTGTTGCAGATCAGTTTTTGGTTATTAACCATTATTTTTTGCTTTTTACTTTAATCATTCCGGGATTTAAAAGCGAGGTATTATTCGCTCTATGTGCATCACTCGAAGTTAAGGTAAATAATACTCTGCACATTCCGGTAATCACTACCAAAAGTATCACTACAGCAAGTGATATGCAAAAGTAGTTCTTATTATACTCAAAAGAAAGAGGAAGTGACTCACCCCGTAATACAGGTCTCGATCAAGGCTCGTAACGTAGGGTAGGTGGTGGCCGCTCTCTCGGCGAAGCCCTGAGGGTTGTGCGCCGCCAGCATTACGAGGAGCAGCCACGCGCGCCAGTACAGGGACGTGATGGCCAGCGGCGGAGGGGTGTATCTGCACAGGGTTACTACTTATTCATCCAAAACGTAGTAGAAAAAGCTCGAGTTATAACGTTCAGGGAACAAATCTGCAGGCAGGGAAGTCCATTCCATAGCCATATAAATGTTCCCACATTTATATAGCGTAACGCTTCGTGCGTGTCTTTGAAATATCCACAACATAGGGGTGGAACCCCAGCCTACACCTAGTCCCCCGGTGATGGGAAGGGGAAGGCGGAATTAAATCGTCTAATTCTGTCATACACTCTCCGGAATATATCCTGTAAAATACCGATAAGCGGTATCTGTGGATGCTGAATGAGGAGGTTCCGTGTTTGATTTCTGGTAAGACCAATTTGGGAAATGAACTTTTCTAAATTGGCTCCGGGTTAGGTAATCTGGGAAGTGCCCCAGAGTAAAGTTCCTTGCTCTGGTATTCATAATATAGATAATTCACTACCACGGCAACTATAACGGAGTACCGAAATTATATACAACACAAACAAAAACAAACCCAGCAGGCAAAGTAATGTTGTCAGGCGGGTTGAAGTGGCACAGCTGGAAGATGTACTCTGCTATCTCGAGCTTCCCCCCTCCCACCTGCAGCGGGTTCTCTTCTGGGGGTAACGCGCATGCACGGCGCACCAGCTGTTCTACCAGCTCGAATACTTCAGCTGGTGCCACTGGAATATCCTGATAACAATTCAAAACGTTTTAAATTTATTGTCAACGAATGCAAGTCTGTCCCCATCTTGAGATGTTAGTACTGCTCAAGATTCGGATTTGAAGATTATATTATTATAAATCGTTTCAATTATTATACAGAAAAAGTAAACTAACAGGTCACTGACCCTACCATAGACAGTTTAGTGATGTCCAATTAATTTAACTACAAATCAGTCAATTAAAGGAATGCATCGATAAGTTGCAATAACAATTATTTTTGAGGTCCCATCGTCACGGATGACTGTACCATCTTAGTCAACCGTGACCATGGGACTTGTAAAGGGCCGGAAATTTTGGATTGTTTGAAAAAACAAATAAATGCGTTTTAAATCTGGAAAAATGGTTTTATTTCCTGTGTAACAACCGCGAAAACCTAAGAATTCGATAATTTTAGTTCTTTTTTAATCATTAAACGTTTCGTAACTATCATAAATTTGCATTTTTTAAACAATAATAAATTTATAGGCGTTTCGCTATGACGGAAAAAAATAATGGTCACGTTAGG